GTGATTGGGCTCTCGGGCGAGATCCCAATTCGTCAGTCACGACTGACGTAACTGAAAGGGAACTGACTTGTCACAGGTATATTTTTCATCTGTAAATGTTAGAAAGGCATGCAAACATATCCATTTTGCTTTCAGGAGTGGGCGAGGCACGCGAGAGCAACGAGCGCAGCTGTGTGCATGCACGCTAAACAGAAGGAGTGCAATAATTTTGAGTAAAATATACATTTTGCTAAAATATTTGTTGTTGGACATTAAATGGGTCTTTTGTAGAATTTTACACCTACATATAAAGTGTATTTTTATAATAGCAGTAACTGTAAAGGGACTATTGTAATAGGTAAATCAAATGTAAGCTCGTAGGCTACTAATTACTAAGCATGGCTAGAAACTGTAAAAAAAAATTAAAAGTATGTGAGACAGTGGTAATATCATTGTGTTCCTATTGGTCAGTAGAGGAGCTTAGCTTAGCCGGACAGTTAGTCTGCTTTAGACCAGGTTAGTTTCCTAGCATATGTTGCCACAGTGACTAAGCTTGATCTAGGCCTATGTTAAATTTGCTTTATGGAACCAAATCATTTGACAATGAGTCAGATAACTGAAATAAGCCTGGTTTATTTGGTTAACTTGTTTTATGAAACAGGCCTCGAGGCATTAAAAGTGATCATATTTTCTCCATTGCATCGAATCGCATTGTGTTGAATCGAATCGAATCAAAATTGGATCGCACTGCATCGTAATAGGGGTGAATTGTATCGCATCGCATCGGTAGCTGCTTCATATGTATCTTTAATGTATTGTATAGTTGGCTAGGCATCAAGATACGTATCGTATCGGCCTGAGTCATGAGATGCACATCCCTAACAGGTCTGAGAAGAGATGATTATACTGTGCAAAGTGTCAAAGCCTAAAATACACCAAAGCTTCATGGCAGAGAGCTTATTCATCAAAGTCAAAAACATTTTTAAAGAGATTCGACTGGTTCAAATGCTTCTAAGTTGCATTACAGATGCTTTGGTCAATAAAAAACAGAAACGGGGAAATAGAGAGGAAAATGTGGTATGTGTGAACAGCGTCATCAACCAAACCCACATAACCAAATGAGACATCCATCATGAACAGAATACTAACACATTTACTTCATGTGTGTCTTTTCTGTCTTTTTTTTTTTACATCTTTAAGAATATTTATTACCTGTACTCCACGATCCCTCACAAACCAGTTCACTCAAATGCAGGAGATTAAGCCAACAGTTTGGTGAAGATGAACTGATGAATCTCAAATCTTGTTTCATTATGTACAGCCGATATAAATAAAATGTCTTTACTAGCAGACACTCGTTTATTTTCATTATTCATTGTTTGGTGTGGAATATATCGTGAACTTAAGTGAACATCTAGCTAAAGGTTCATGAGCTTCACATGACATTGCTCAGAGGATCTTCTTTGTCAAGATCCAAAAAAAACTTGGGCATTTAAGGCTGAACCAATAAATGTAATTATGTTTTATTCCTTTTCTGAAGTAAAATTTAAACCATCTGACTTTTGAAAAAAGTTGTTTACTTGCGGTTTGAGGTGCTCTCAGATCCAATACAGTTGGTTGCTTTGTCTTTCAGAAGAAGTTTCTTTGCAGACTTTCCATTACACTGTGTCTCATTTACAAAACCCAGTCAAATGCTCCGAACAAGCATATAATCTTCAAATGCTCCAAACAAACGCGATACGATCCATTCACTTGTATCTGATGTTGGGGTCCTTCTGAAATTAAGATATTTTTGATGAAATCTGAGAGCTTTCTGACTCTGCATAGACAACAATGCAACTGACATGTTCAAAGGTCCAGAAAGGTAGTAAGGACATCGTTAAAATAGTGCATGTGACATCAGTGGATTTTATTCAACAATTTATTCTCTTCCATGTCAGTCTTTGACGTGCATTCATGACAGTACCACGGCACCTGCATGCGGTGCTGCTGACGCAGGAGCCGGCATTCTGACATAGTACCCAGCTGCATTGCGCCATGTTTACAAGCAGAGGAAAACTTACGCTGTACATAAAACAGTCTTCTTAAACATGTCCGAAGATTTCGACAGAAAGGATGACTTGCAATTTTTTGTCCAGCCTTACTTATTTGAACCAGAATATACAGACGATAAACTAAGAGAGCTGGACGTTCTACGTCGAAACGCCAGTTTGTGCGTCAGTGCACCACACACATGGGTTGTGGTATTCTCCTGAACACCCCAATTTATGCGCATCTTTTAAAGCATTTGGAATCAGGATGATCCCACAATATCCAAAAGAGCCATTTTAGCAAAGACTTATAGAATACCCAAGACGTGTCATTCGTATAGTTTTGAATGGGGAAAAATGCTATGCTCAATATGGCCGCTCTATCGAAGCAAGCCCCGCCTTCTTAATAAAAGAGCCAATCGCTAATCTGTAAAGTTTCTCTCACACTCACACCAAAAACAATATTTTTCACTGGGAATTTCTGGCAACCACAGCTGTGGTGTTGTTGTTGTTGTTTTTTTAGCCATAAATTTAACAGGATATTTTTTATGGTGAAGTTTTTTGTGTCATTGGCACTGAAAAAGCTACATTTATGAAACAAATGTAGTCAGATTTTATTACTTTCATGACTTGTGCCTATATAGACAAAAAATCAAGTTACATGTAAAGAGATATTAGAGATTTTTGCCCTATTATAACCCAAAGACTATAAATAGCACACTCAGTGAATTAAATGTCCGAAAAATGATGGAAAATATGTTTTTATTTACATAACATGGCTTTCCTTTGATGTAAAGGGATTAGGCAATTAAAGGTTATTTAACAAGTACTTTTTTAAGCAGGCAAAACTTATAAAGTCTGTGAAGAATCCACATCTCATCTTTTGATGACAATGTATGCTATTCTTTCAAACAGCTCTGTGAAATATTCCTATTTTGTCACGTCATGCATCGTAAGACTCCAAATTAAATGCCAAATCAGTCTGAAATGCAGGCAAATAATAATGACATAAAAGACATTTGTGCTCAGTTTTGTCTGCGCTTCACACAGTACAGATTAAGACTAAAGTTGAGGTCTATGAACCTTGAAGAACAGCTACATGGACTGCGTTTAGCTGTGACGGCTCGTGGCAGCCACTGATATCCAGGCATGTTCACTGGTCCACATGTAAGAAGAAAACACTCAGCACATTCTAACAAAGTCTTTGACGGTAATAAATATCATCTATCTTCAGTAATCCAGACATCACAAAGATGATTTTGTCTCTGTGAACAGAGCTTGGCGGAAGCAAGGAGTGTATATTAAGCCTAATGGATCAAGGCAGGGGTCAGAGGTCACCTGCTGATCAGGAACGACAACACTGGGAATAAAATGGCTACCAGTGGAAAATTCAAAGCATTTGCTGAGCCGCATTCCATAGCGTTCTCCTGTTAAAAAGATATATAAACAGGGTTAGCAAGTGCATCGAGCAAAACTTTTTTGGTAGAGTCAAAACTTTACACAAAAGTCATTGAAAGCTACACATTCAAACACTTCATAGTTTGAACTTTCAGCTACAGAATGACTCCAAATGAGCTGAAAGCCCTGCAAGAGGTATAAAATAGTTCACTAAAACTTTTTGAGTGTACTTTCTTTCAGCTGTGATGTGGATGAGCATTTTACAGACAGAATGAATGGGGTACTTTAAAATAAAACACTGTATGATAATGAAGTACATGAACAGCAGTTTCAAAATATTGGAAAACTTTACAGTAGTTTAAAATCTGGTATGGTGCTGGTCATCAAAAGCAGAGTTTTAATAATACAACATCATGCATTATGTACCTCTAGATGAAATGGATGACAGGACTGTGGCCGTCTGCGATCCTTTTGAAACTTCAGTCTGTCGCACTTCAGAGACTCATTATGTGCTCAGAGGTCAAGGCTGATAATTATACAAATACTCATGCTATAACATCACATTCTACAAGCAGATGTTTATTTGGTTTATAAAAAGGATATAAATAATCTCAATGGGCTCCATGGTAACCGGAGGGGCAGAGCTACAGTCACATTTATTCTCAACAACCACCATGAACAGGTTACTGCTGGGAATCTGCTGAATTACAAAGGTCCTGAGTGGGGGAAAAAAATACAAAAAAGATGTGCGATTCTTGTTCACAAAACCTGTAGAAGTGGTCATCCCTCACCTTTTCATTTTGGGTGAACTATCCCTTTAAATATCTTCAGAATCAGAATTAGAATGAGCTTTATTGCCAGGTATGTTTAC